GTGGATTGATGTGGAGTATGTGAATGAATTCACATATTATTGAGGATTTAGAGTAGATCCCATTGATACGTGGTTGTGGAAAGAATGATCAGGAAAGAAGTTGGGGTGAGGAATAGGGAAGTCAATTTGAGATATATAGAAGTGAAGCAGTGGTATGTGGTGATGAGGTCCAAGTTGTGTCTATTTGCTCTGATGGCTAAATGCGAAATGGAATGTGACAGTAGGAGATGCTGGTTACCCCATTTGACTTTAAAGTTTCACATTACAAGTGTTGAAATCATTAAGAATAATTGGAGTGGGACAGAAAGTAAAATATGGGCCAGATGCTATAGGCATCTTGTAAGGCAGAAATGACTCCTGGGCTGAGTAGCTACAGGCAAATTTTATGCCATTTGTGACGTACTCTATACCCCAAACATGGATTCTGAGTTCCTTAAGTGACTTTATCTTGGGGCTTGGTTCTTCAAGTGACTGTAAGACCCAGTGGTTCTCTCCCCACAAATATAGATGGAGGTGGTTGCTACATACAGGACAGGATAACCATGACCCTATCAGTAAAGGCATGGAAAATTGGTAACTTCCAGAAGCTCTCAGTAGTTTGGTTACTGGGAAGTAACCCTTTTTGTGTGGGGTTTGGTTTTTTGTTGTTGTTGTTTTTTTTGTTTTTTGGGGTGATTCTGTCTACTGCCAATGCTGAGTCATTCTTGCAACTAAAATAAATATTAATACATTTATACACATGGTATGTCTTATACAACTTGTATCGGTGGTAGTCCAAGAAAAACAGATTTTGAAAGCAAAATAAGTCCTTAAATTGGCAGTTTTAACGTGTGTTTCTGCGTAGTACTGTTAACCTTGATAGGTGTTTTGAATGTTACTTTATTGATATACTCCTCAATAATGTTTCCTGGTATTTTCCAGTGTTTAAATATTTGCTGTTAGCTATATACATTTCTTTTGTAAATATTGTTAAACTTAATATTTTTACTTAAGCAAAATTTCTAGATATTCATAATCATAAGTAAAGAGTTTGAAGAATGTTTAAAGTATTTTGAGAAAAATAAAGAGAACCAGTCATTTCATTGATAGATGTGTTTTAAATCACTGTCACATACGAGTTCATAATAATAGATTATGCATTTATTGTTATGTCTTTTTTTTTTTTTTTTTTACAGAAAACATCTCAAATTTTTAGCATGACCCTATCAGAAAAATGATTCACTGTTTATTATTATGGTCACTCATTATCTAAAAACATGTAAATAAAATGTTACGAAAATACAGAATAACTTATGATTTGGGGAATTCTCGAGTGCTCTGATTTCTCATGAATCCCGAAATTTAATGCATTTTGGTTATTTAGAAACAGGTGGGAAGGCAGTCTAAAATTAACGATTCCATGAAACAACAAGAAATATTAAAGTCAAAATTCTGAAAAAGAAAATAGGGAAAATATAGACTCATTTCAAAAAAGCTTATCTGGAAAATAATTTGAGAGATAAATTTAAGAATCATTTGACTATCTGAAAACCATGACCAAAAAAAGAAAAAGCATGCCTATTATATTTCAAGAAATTATTAATAAAAACTATATTAGAACAAGGAAAATAGAATCTGTCAGCCTTCTCTTAAAAGAAAGCCCAAAATGAAAACTCTCAGGGAAACCATACCCAAAATCAAACTTCTGAGTCAGATTAGAAATATTACAAGCAGCCAGAAAGAAAAAGTTCAAGGCGCCAAGATCCATAATCAGGATCACACAAGATTTGGCAGCTACTACATTAAAGAAGCACAGAGCTCGTAATGTAACATACCAAAAGGCAAAAGATAAAAACTTACAACCAAGAGTTACTTGCCCAACAAAGCAGAGTATTATTCTGTAGGAGAAGAAAATGGACCTTTAATATGGGGTCAAAGAAAAAATTAATACAAATAATGTACTCTGCATTTTAATGTTCATATCTGCCTGAAACAGTTGTGTTTTCTGTTTTTAAGTTATGTCCAACTATATCCAATTTTGTGTTATAATCTTGTTTATTTATAATTCAATTTATAAATAATACATAAAAATTTTTATTTGTAATTTTATTTATAATAAAAATGATTTATGTCCAGCCTATTTCTGGTTTGGAAAGATATCCAAACTAGCATAATCCCACATGCCTTCCAACATGACTTTGCCCCCTCAGGTAACATTTATTGGAATATTGAACAGGGAGAAGATCATAATAGTAAAATACAGTTTGGGTTAGCATTTCAGAATATTTGAATAATAGTCTCTGTCCATGTCTGGAATTCTCTTGTTTTTACCTATACCTCCTTGCTCTCCTCGCCTCCCTTTGGTCTCAGCTGTAGCCCCGTCTTCTACAAGATGCCTTTCTCAGTTCTGCTTAATCTTAGTATCTTTCCTTTAAGATTATTTCCAATATACCCTTCATAGAAGCACGGTTACTTATATGTCATTTCCCCCATTAAACTGTGAGCTCCTTGAAAGAAGGGATGGTTTTTTGCCTTTCTTTGTATCCTCAGCACTTAGCATGGTGCCTTGCACATAATAGGCTTAATAGCATTAATAAATGCTTCTTCATTTGACTTTCATCCTTAAACATTCCTCGTACTTCTGGAAAAACCAATGTGGCCTTCCTAAGGAGAAAGATTGGTTCTGAGGTCCAGTCATTTCAGGTGGGTAGACAAAAAGGAGACTTCCTTTAGATGAGTTAACTCAGTCACTTCAGGAGTGGGTAAGGCAGTGATGGAAACCAGACTAGAGTTATTCTTTGTTAAAAGGTTGGTTACACCACTAATCCATTTCCCTCGTGAAAGGCCTTTTTAGCCCCCACTTATCACCTACCTTTCCAAAGGGCTTTAGAGAAAAATACTATTTCTTTATATTTTCAGTTTTACTATGAAAATTAATAATATGCTTCCACATATGAGAGGACTATTAGTTATTCCATATGAAAAGACTAAAGCTGAGTAGAAACTTTGAAATGCAAACACAAGAGTCCAAAGAAAAATATAAAGGCCAATATGCTTGTGCAATCGAAGGGACAGTACAAGGATGAAGTGTTTACAATCTAAAGTGTTTCCAGTGATTCAAGTGTCCCTTCAAAACCCTAATGTTATCAGAACTTATAGCCAGAGTTAAATAAGACAAGGGCTTGGAGTGATTTTGTTACGTTCAAGTCATCGTAAGAGAAAGGAAAGGGAGAAGAAAGGGAATGTAGAAGAAAAGGGAAGGAAGAGCAGGGGGAACTTAGGTCGTTAGGGTACAAATAAAGACTATACAAACAAGGAAGAAGGGATAGGAAAGTGAACAAAAACGCAGAATTTACACAACAGCAGCATTATAAAGACACACAGCTTTGAAAGACAAGAACTCTGATTGCTACAGTGACTGACCATAATTCCAGAGGACTGATGATAAACCGTGCTGAGAAGTAATGGACTTAAGATGCAGAATGAAGCATATCTACTGAACATGAAATTTGTTTTGCTTAATTATGCATCCTTGTTATAAGAGTTTTGTCTTTCTTTTTTTCCCAGTGGGGAGGAATAGAAAGGAAGGAAAATGTTTGTTAATTTTAAAAATTTTAATTTGAAAGGGAATCCAGTTTAGTTGACATTATTTTCTTGCTTGAATCAACTCAAAACAAGTTGAAAAGTCTTTCCATCAACCAGATAATTGCAGTTCTGGTTTGCCATCATCTTTTCAGATTGTTGTTGGCACCCAAAACCTTGGATCTTTTTAAGTAACTAATTGTTTCACCAGAGGATGGCTTTTAAAAGTCTTTTATTGTCAGATATACTTCTGGAGGCACTATTAGACTAGGTATTTATTTCTATTTCTGTAGAATTGTTTGAATTTTAAAGGGGCCTAATGGATTACAATGCACTTGTTTTCCAGGGCAGCAGGCAGACTCCTTTGTCGGCCCAAGAACCTTCAACGTTCACGTCTGAAAGGAGAGCCTTGACCTCCAGTCAGGTTAGGGTGCTCTTTTTCCCTGTAGGTAGGGGCAGAGGGCAAGAGATGCATCACGATAAAAGCCATGATAAGGCTGAAGAATGTAGCATCGTCCAAGACCAGAGTTTGGGATAGGCATTCTTAATCCTTTGGGATGGGGAAATTGAGTCGCTGTCCACCTTTCCCTTCAGAGGAATACCCGTACCGGGAAGGTTTATGTGGCTGAAATTGCCTCTAACCTTCCACCCTTCTGTATCATCTTAGGGACCCTTGTTATACCGAAGGGCCCTAGGGTGTTGCTGTGAGTCAGTCAGTTAATAAACATTAGTGCTTCTTATGCCAGACACTGTGCTGACCTCTGGGGATGAAGAAAGGTCACTGTTCTTGTAGACACATAACTATGTACAAACGTGCTGTATAGAGGATAAATGGGAAATGACCGGCAGAAGCAAACCACTAGAAATCGAGAAGAATCAGGAAAGGCTTTTTGTAGAAGGTGGGGATTTCAGCTTGAACTTCAAGAAATCCAGGAGGTGGAGAGGCGGAGGGGAAGCATTCCATTCATGGGAGACAAGCAGTGAAAATGCTCAGGGACAAAGCTGGCATTCTTTTAAGATTATGAGCTAGAAGGAGTTGAGAAGTAAAGTGACTTGGACGGTAGGTCACTGAACTCACGTCCGCCTTCCAGGTGGGTTTTTAAAGGCCTTTATAAACTACGCTACCTTCTTCATTCAGGGTTGAGTCTTCTTACTTCCTGGCAGACATAGCTTCTGTGTACCTTTACTGGCCATGGTTTTTGTTACCTTGACAGTATTCGGAGGTTACTCTTTCTTGCAGTCCATTGATTTGGGAATTACTTCCCAGTGTAATCTCTCTAAAGTAGTAAGTTTAATACTCAGCAGAGTCAATTGGAGGCCAGGTACTTTTGTCCCAATGTGAGTATTTGTTAGTTTGCAAACTGAGAGTGAAGCGTAGAATGTTCTTGGGCCTCACTTGAGGGGACAGTGTATAAATCTGAAATTCAGCAGCAGTGCGGAAACTCTCAGGATGCTGGAATCTAATCCACGGGGAGGTGCGTCCTGGTCCTCGATAAACGTTTGACTTGGAGTGCTCTGGATGCCACATATTGTGAAGGCTCCCTATGTGTAGATGTGGCTAACTTCAGGACTTCCCCGAAATATATTAGAGAGGATTTCTGGGCGAGAAGGAATGTGTTGCATGTTTCAGGAGTTAGTGACGTTCAAGAATGTGGCTGTGGAATTCACCCAGGAGGAGTGGAGGCATCTGGACCCTGCTCAGAAGAGCTTGTTCAGGGCAGTGATGCTGGAGAACTACAGCAACCTGACCTCCCTGGGTAAAGGCGGCTTTTCTCTGTGCCTGAAAACCTGCTCGTTGGCCTTTTCTCTGCACTTTCATTCGCTAGAGGCAGTGGGGTATTTATAGAACCTGGCTGAATTTTGTCTCGGTGGGCAGGAGTATTTTCAACTATATATAACACAGGGAGATCTTTAAATCCGTTGGGACTGAGAGGGAAGTTGTTTCTGTGTCTTGTTCCCAGGGTTAGTGTTCTTTTGGTGCAACTCCCATGTAGAGCTTTATTGTCCCAGAATCAACGGATCAGGCCTCAGCACAGTGCCTTTCATAGTAATTCTTGTGAGTTAAATTTTAATGTAATTTGATTAATATTTAATATGTAACATGATACACAATGTAATAGTTGTTGAAAGAATGAAGAGTCTGTACTGAAACACCAAACAAAGCAGGTATTTGAGAATGTGAAAGATTCCCTTCCTCCTACCTGGGATAAGGTCATATGAATTTTCTTTTTGAACCCAAATTTACAATGTGAGCCACCTCTCTGTACCTCCTGGGAGTATAGTGTGTATCGAGCATTCTTCAGAGTCCTTTTGGGTGAGGCAGAGTCTCTGACCTTCCTGGCCACACATGGAGAAGAAAGAGCTGGGATTGGGTCATGTAATAGCTCCCTTCAAAGATCTTTCTTGCCCATTTCTTTCCCCTGAGCAGGACAAATAATTACCAAATCAGATCTCATCTTCCTTTTGGAGAGAGGACAAGCACCATGGACCAAATGGAGCCGGGTCGCAGGAGGCAGCAGTTCAAGTGAGTAAAAATCTGGTAAGTGGGTCTTGCATTCCGTGCAAGAGCAGAGATGTTCACTCTGAAACTTTCTGACACAGGCCAGATTCCTTTTCTGCCATTTGAGAAACTTTTTCTTCGCTTTTCCATTGAACTCTTCCTTGCTAACCTGGAGTTTGAGGAGGGTGACCAAATGTCACCTTGTGCATAGGTAGTCATCCCTTGGATGTTACGCCCTGTGGGCGTGATGCAAACCATGCATACCAAATGCAAGTGACTGTAAAATTCCCCATTCTCCTTACTAGCGGGAATTGATATCCTAAGTCTGTATCCTTCACGTTGTTTACAGATAATTATAACCCATGTGATAGCCCAAGTTCAGTCTTTGACCTTTACCAGTCTAACGCCTTCTAAATCAGAGGTCCCATCGGACGCTGTGCCTGCGGACCATCCCAGACAGGGTCTGAACCAGATCGCAGTGCAGTTGGGAGCTATTTAGCAAAATAAATAAAGATGGAATAAAAACATAGATAATACTAAGTCTCTATGTGGCCTGTAGGGATCTTTATGTGCAGGTGAATGAATGCCCTCCATTTCTGTTTGAGTTTGACGCCGCTGCTCTAAATCACCTTTACAATTCCTTTGATTTCCTTGAGTTCTGTGCCAAATAATGGGATTGAAGGATATGAAGAATTTACTAATGTTACTTACATAATTAAAAAAAAATTAACAGAACAATCGAACCAGTTCACAGCAAAGCTATATTGTCAGCTTTGCAAGTTAATAGGGCTATGTCATAACACTTCAGGCATGCTTTATTGGCAGTTTCTCTTATTTTTTAGTGACATGGAACATTTATTTTCATTGACAGTTTCGAAAATTTCACACCTTTTTTTTTCACTTTGGGAAGAGGTTTTTTTTGTCTCAAATTATATCAATTCTCCATATATTTCCTACATTATTTTAAATGTCATACATTTATCAAAGGTTATTGATGATGAAATTTCCCCCAAGTTGCTAATTTCTTTTGTTTTATCTGTAGGGATTTTGGTTACATAAAAGCTATTTAATTATATGTAACATAATTTACCTGTTTTGCTCTATCTCTACTTGGTTTTAAAAGATGTCAATCTTTAGTCTCCTTTGCTTGATCTTCGTCTGTGTCACAGTCATAATAATAATAATAATAAAAATGACTATAATAATGACAATAGCCAACATACATCTAGCACTTACTATGTGCCATGCTAAGGGCTTACAAGTATTATCTCATTTGATCCTCACCTGGGAGGTAAGTATCATCCCCATTTTATAGATTAGAACACTGAGGCAAACTGAAACAAAAGCAAAGATCCTGACTTGTCCAGATGGCGCTAGTAAGTATCTGAGGCTGATTTGAACTCAAGTCTTCCTGGCACTCTATCCATCGTGAGGATCCACTGAGTGCCACCAGGCACTCCCTCCCCCTTCTGTCCTTGGCTGTCTTCTGTACTATCTCACTTGGTGATTTCATCAGCTCCTACGGGTTCAGTTATCATCTCTATGCAGATGATTCCCACATTTTTGTACCCATCCCTGGACTGTTTACTGAACTACAGTCACACATCACCACATGACTTTTGGACATCTTGAAATATCTGGCCTCTAGGCATCTCAAACTCGACATGTCCAAAAGAGAACTCCTTACATTTTCCCCCAAACCATCCCCTCTTCTGAACTTTACAATTACTGCTGAGGGCACCACTATCTTCCCCATCACCCAGACTTACAACTTGGATATCAGCCTCAACTCCTCACTCTGATGTACCCCACATAACCAATTTGTTACCACATAGTATTATTTCTGTCTTCATAGCACCTCTTTTATATCTTTCATTGCTTCCCTTACAAAGCCACAAGCCTAGTTCAAGCCCTCATCACTTGTCCTCTAGGCTATTACAATGACTTCTTGCCTGGTCTCCCTGCCTCAAATCTCTCCCCCACTTCAATTCATCCTCCACCTGACTACCAAGGTGATTTTTCTGAAGAATAGGCCTGACCAAGTCATTCCACCTTGTTCAGTGAGCTCCACTTGCTTCTCATTACCTCCAGGATAAAATATAAAATATTATTTTGGGCATTTAAAGCTCATTGTAAACTAGTCCCTTTCTACCTTTCCAGTCTTCATTGCTTATCCATCCACTCTATGATTCATCAAATATGTCCTACTCGTCTCTCTCTAGAATGCTGAGCTTTTGAGTACAAGCATTGTTTTTACCTTTCTTTATAATCGTGGCCCTTAGAATAGTGCTTGGCACATAGTAAGGGCTTAATAAGTGATTGTTGACTTACTGATAAATTTTTTTTAACATTTTATTGATGTACTTTGATTTTTAAACAATTACTAATCAATCCTAACCCCTTAATATTCTTCTTTTACAAAAAGAAATACTGACAGATTATGTAATATTACACATCTATGAGGCACTCCTTTTAATAGAGAAGAAGGAAATATGTTCCAACATCAGACATATGTAATCCACTATTATCCAATAATCCAATGCAATAATCTGAGTCTTTCAGTGTTTTCTTCATTTATGGCATTTTCATTGTGTATGATTTTTGCCTGGTTTTTCTTTCTTTGCATCAATTTACACAAGTTTTTTAAGTTTTTCTCCTTCTGTTCAAATCTTTTTTTACCTTCTCTTCAAATCCTTCTCCAGATGTACTCATGCTATATCTCTGCGATAAATAGTTTATCTTTGTATCTAATGCCTTTATTAATTTGTAGATGCTATAATTTTGATAGACATTACCACCAGGCTTACCCATGTGTAATTTCCAGAAATGTCATCTTCCTGAAAATATAGATACTTTGCTAAAGATGATTAAAAATGGTTCTCTTATCACATCTATTTTGATTTTTTCTCAATAGCCTGAATGTAATTCATTTAGTCTTGCGTACTTGACCTTATTTAAAGCAGCTCTGGTCTCTCTCTTCACATATCTTGGGTGTTAATACGTTGTTAATGATTGTCCTGCTATTTTTAAATATTTTATCATTTTCTTTGATAGAGAGACAATCTAAAACTTAGTCAAACATTTATTAAGTATCTGCTATGTGCCAGGCATGTACTGACTGCTAAGTGCTGAGGATATAAAGAAAGACAAAAGATAATTGCTGCCCTCTGGGAGCTAACATTCTAAAGGGAGAAGGCCACATAAAAAGAAGCTGAAAGAGTAGGAGTGGGAAGGGCCAGAAGAAGGGGAGGAGAGTACTTGGGTGGGAGGTATATTGAAATCCTGCAACCAGGTGGGAAATGATGAGGTATCTGCCTAGATCTCCTCCTTAAATAGAGAGTTTAGGAAGAGCTTGACACTGTCTACCTAGGGGCAGGGAATACTGAAGAGGTGTATGAAGTACAAAACAATTTACTTTTTCCCAACATAGACAGTACGTTGGCCTTTTTTTTTTTTTTAATTTCAGACAGCCTTATTCTGGAGAGTAAGCGTGAAACAACCAAGGACATTCAAATATGGGGCATTTCTGTGGAAGAGTCATCCAAGGAAAGACTCAAGGAGGATGGTCCCTGGGATTTCAAGTTGAAAAAAACCTGGGAATCTGATGTTAGTTTAGAGCAACAGAAGGGCAACTACAAAAGCTTCTCAAAGGAGATTACAGTCACGGACAGAAAAACTACATTTAATACAAACGAATGGGATCTGTTTAGAAAAGGCTTCAGTGAAGAGTTACTTGCAATTAAAAAAACGAGAGATCATGCAGAAAAAAGTCCAAGTAAATGTGATACACACAAAACAAACTTCAAGCAGTGGTCAGATGAAAGGAAATTTAATGGGAATCTTTTCTAAGATGAAGTTTTGTAGAGATAACTACGGGAAGACATTCAGTTATCATCCAGAATGTGCTGAACTTCACAGGGAATGTACTGAAGGAAAAACTTATGAGTGTGGAAAAGTCATTTACGGCTCATCCTTTACAAATCATCATGTACTTCCTACTACAGAGAAGACATTTGAATGTGATGAATGTGGGAAATTGTTTAGCTGGAGTAGACAGCTTATTAAACATAAGAGAATTCATGCTGGAGAAAAACCCTTTAAATGTAATGAATGTGGGAAATCCTTTAATCAGCATGTGGAAAATCTTTCAACCGACATGGACATCTTACTCAACATAAGAGAGTTCATGCTGGAGAGAAACCTTTTAAATGTAGTGAATGTGGGAAATCCTTTAGCCAAAGTGGACACCTTTCTACACATAAGATGGTTCATACTGGGGTGAAACCCTTTGAATGTAAAGAATGTGGGAAATCCTTTAGGTGGCAACCAGATCTTTTTAAACATAAGGTAATTCACACTGGAGAGAAGCCCTTTAAATGTAGTGAATGTGGAAAATCCTTTAACTGGCATCAAGACCTTAGTAAACATAAGAGGATTCATACTGGAGAGAAGCCTTTTGAATGTAATGAATGTGGGAAGTCTTTTACTTGGAGTGGGCAGCTTACTACACATAAGAGAATTCATACTGGAGAGAAGCCCTTTAAGTGTAGTGAATGTGGGAAATCCTTCAGGCAGAGTGGGCAGCTTTCTGAACATAAGAGAATTCATACTGGAGAGAAGCCCTTCAAGTGTAGCGAATGTGGGAAATCCTTTAACCGGAGTGGTCACCTTACTGCACATAAACGAATTCATACAGGGGAGAAACTCTTCAGCTGTAGTGATCATCTTACTGAATATCAGAGAATCCACACTGCGGAGGAACCACCTTAAATTCAGTGAAGGTAGGAAAGTATTTGACATAAAGGTTCTACTAAGCATAAAAGAATTCCTATCAGAGGAAAATCTTTGAATGTGTTCAGTATAGGAAATCATTTAGCTGCAGTGGACAACCTGTGTAACCTATGGGAAATCTTTTTAGCCAGACAGGAGAGAAAATCCCTTCAGTGTTGTGAATTTAGTCAGTCTTTTAGTTGAACATAAGTGAATTCATAGGAGGGCCAAAGATTTTTGTAGAAGTCAGAAGTTTTACTGACTTGTGAATTGCCTTGAAATGACAACATCCTATGTTGTTTGTGTGGTAACAATTATTTTATAGTAGTTTCACAAGTCCTGTGGTCTTCATTTGTATGGGAAACCCCTCTACCAATGCAACTCAGTACAGACTCTTCAACTTAGAGGCAAAAAAGTTGCCCAAGGGGTAGTAAGAGGCTCTGATTTGCCCTGGATCACATTTTGTTTTTACATTGCCTTTATTTCTTACTCTCAGCTCTCCCCAACTTTGTTTCAGAGAACCATTCCTTAAAATAAAAATAAAAGTTCATCAAATTCAACTCGCATGTTGAAAAAGCCTGACATTATATGTGACTTTCCAAATTTAACCCCCCCCCCAAAAAAATTCACTATGATCCAGTTGAATTTGTAACAGGAATCTAAGGGTTGTTAACATCAGCAAAACATTTTATAACCATGATTATCTCAGTAGAGGCAGAAAACAGCTTTTTATGAGGAACAGTACTAATTTATACTTTAAAGTGCTATAAAGTTTTATAAAATGCATAGAAGGATCTTTTCTTTAAAAATATGATCCAAAGTGTCTTAAGCCAAGTTAACATTATATTCAGTGGAGAAACACAAAGTTTTCTCGATAAAACATAAGTAAAGCAGGAATGGACAACTTTCCTCACTGTTTAACAGTTCTAGAAATTCCAGAAGTAGCTATAAAATATAGAAAAGAAATTAAAAACATTAAGGTGGACAACAGACAAAACTGTCCCTATTTGCTGATAACATTACGGCTTACTTAGAAGATCCTAAGCAGTCAACAAAGAAACTGACACCACAGCTTCAGTAAGACGCAGACTGCAAAATAAACCCACAGAAATCAACAGCATTTTTGTATGGCAGCCTTAAAATCCCCGAAGAAATAGTGAGGTCCTAATCACAATAAAGGGCAGCTAAGTGGCACAATAGATAGGAGTGCCATTCTTCATCCTGAGTTCAGATCTGGCCTCGGACACTTACTAGCTATGTGACCCAGAGCAAGACTTAACCCTGCTTTCCTCAGTTTTCCCATCTGTAAAATGAGCTGGAGAAGGAAATGACAAACCACTCCAATAACTTTGCCAAGAAAACCCCAAACAGGGTCACGAAGATTTGAAATGACTGAGCAACACTTACAACTAAAAGTACATGAAATTTCTGGAAATCAGCCCCCCAAAGCACACTCAGGGTTTATATAGACATAATTACAAAATAAAATAACAACAAACTGGTAGAATATTCAGTGCTTGTGGTTTGATCTTGTCAATGTAATAAAAATGACAATACTATAAAAGTTAATGATTTAAGCTATAGCAGTAAATCTACCAAAGGGATTATTTCTGAAGTTAGAATATTAAATTCATTTGAAGGAACAAAATGAATGAATGAGCATTTAACAAGGCCTTGCTATGCGTAAAGCACTTTGCTAAGATAGAACGTGATCTCAAGATACTCACGTTCAAATTGAGGAAAACACCACATAGGAGGTTTCACCTGCAAGTCAGATGGAAAGGGCCTGTGGTCCCTATTATGCAGTATATGACAATGCATTTCTTTAATCTTATTTCCATTAATAAAACCGTATCTGTTTTTGATGTTGAACTATTTAACAGCACCAAGGACCTTGATGGTGAGAACTTTATTTTCTGGGTCTTTATTAGCTGTGACTGCTAAGGAAGCAGGGATTGCAAAACCTGCAGAAGTAGTTGCCAGGTTGCAATTCCACGAGAGTTAGTCCCCTGAATGATCTGTTAAGGGAAATGATGAAGAAAGAAAAGAATGAGGGGGGCAGCTAGGTGGCGCAGTGGATAGGGCACCGGCCCTGAAGTCAGGAGGACCTGAGTTCAAATCCGGCCTTAGACCAAACACTTGACACTTACTAGCTGTGTGATCCTGGGCAAGTCACTTAACCCCAGTTGCCTAAAAAAAAGAAAAAAGAAAGAAAAGAAAAGAATGAGGAAGGGAGAGCACCTTCAGACCTCAAAATACAAAGCAATAGTTATCAAAAAACTATTTAGCACTGGTTTAAAAAAATAGAAAATATCAGTGGATCAGATTAAATAAGAAATAATTTAACTAAATTACCAGCATTTGAGAAACCGGAAACATAAAATTACTTAGGAAGGAACTTATGTGAGAAGTGCTGGGTAAACCAGAAAGCATTCAGGCAGAAATTAGATTTAGACCACCAGCTTAGACTTTCACGTGCTTTGGAGAGCCCTTCAGTGATAGTAATGCAAACACGGCACTGTTGTATAGTTCTTTTAAGTTTGTAAAGTCGTCTACAAAAGATTTTCTTTTGATCTTCATAACAACCATGTGAAGTAGAAGGTGCTGTTATCTCCATTTTACAGAGGAGGAAGAGGTACTGCACATCTTCTGTTTTGCTTTTCTGCTTAAATATAATAATCAACGTTTCTCATTTCTTGGCTTTCCCTCTAGAAATAGAGTAGGAATGTACTTTCCCCCAAACTTCTGAATTCCCCTTAGTTGGAGTTTTGTGGGGCCAGTTAAGAAAGGTTTCTTCTTGGAACAATGATAAGGGCCCAAGCTTCAGGTCACTCACTCAACAGGATTCCTTCATCCTGTGTTCCCTGGGAAAATATTCTGGTATGCCAGTTTTTTTCCACTGATCCCTTGGGATGCATGAAAGCCTCTTTCCCTGATGGAGCATTTAGAAGGGGATGACCATCTCTGGCACATTACTGGCTAATTCTGTCAGTGGAACCTGCTTTTTCCTGAGTAACGTGGCATCTAGAGTGACACATGGCTGTTCGTGCTGCCAGACTAGAAGTTGCAGTGAACTGTACTCAATGCCTTCTGTGCCTCTGATTAATAGCTATTCCTGTGTGTGCATGTAATAAATCTCCACATACTCCATTACTGTCCTGTCTGTTTACTGCACCATTTCATTGCAACCTGAGTTTTGTTTGGCTTGTCCCCGCAGTAGAACTGTCGCTTTTTTGCCCCTAGGATTCTTTAAGTGCACCGTAGAAATAGTGTTGTTTATTTTTTTAAGGCTGCCATGTAATTGTTTACTCGTTGAACTAGCAGTTTACTAAAATTCCCAGATCTTTTTCACCCAAGCTGTTGACGATTCAAATGTTTCTCTCAAGTATGTTATCGTTTCAATCCAGACTGTTGTTCTAGCCAGTCAAAATTTTTCTAGACCTTGACTCTGCTGTTTCCTAGGGTTAGCTTTTTCCTCCCAGTTTCATATAATTTGTAAGTTTGTGTCAAGGATATTCTATTCCTTCATCCAAGTACTTGATAGACTTTTTGAATAGCACTTGGACAAGGACAAATCCCTGGACCGTCCTACTAGAGGCGTCCTTTCAATGGATATCAAAATATCAGTTCTTTTTTATTCTAGTCATTTTACCATTTCTGAATCTGCTGAGCTCTACTGCTATTTCACCAACAAATTGCCCTCATATCTACAAGAATAGCATGAAACTATTCAATGCTTTGCTGAAATTGAAATATTCTACGCCTACTTACCAAATTGTTGGCTTTTATTTTTAAATAAGCTTTTAGTTTTTAGTTTTTTTTTTTATTTTTGGAGGTTAGGGACTTGGCTTCACTGGGTTGCTATGATGACGGAGCTAAGCCACGTACACATCTTTCGTTGGGGTGTCCTCAGCTGAAACACCGGAAATACACTGACTCTTCAGTCTCCCTGGCCCCAGGCTCTTAGAAAGTTTCTACTTCTGAAATACAGTAGTAAAGCCCTGAGTTGATCTCACTTAAGCCACAACTTTTACTTCCCTCATGAACTGTTTTTGGCTCATTACCTCTTTTACTAAAAAAGGGGGGAAGGGAGGAAGGTATCTGGGGAATTTTTAGGCTTGTTTATTTTTGTAGGTGTGTAAAAGTCTAAAACTAGTCCCCGTACTTTGAAATCCCTTTTGGTTCCCAGCTCTCACAATCAATTCCAGAATTCTTCAGAGAGACCTTGAGAGTGTCCTTGTATCACTTCTGACAGGGTGAGTGCTTGCTTTCTGTGAGCTCTCGGTAAAATGGCCTTTTAGGCAAGCATACGTACAGCATTTGAACAGTGTGGCCAGCCCATCAGAGTTTTCCTCTCTGCAGTAGAGTTTAAATGCTTGGCCATTCCCATTTAAGAAAGGATGTTGGTGTCCAGTGCCCTATCTTGCCAGGAGATCTTCAGAATTTTCCTAAGACAGTTCGAATGGAAGCGATTTACTTTCCTGGCATGGCACTGGTATATCGTCCAGGTTTCACAGGCATCCAATGAGGTCAGCACGGTGGCTCTGTAGACTTTCAGTTTGGTAGGCAGCCTCCTACCTCTTCTCTCCCATACTTTCCTTTGGAGCCTCACAAACACTGAGCTAGCTCTGGCAATGTGTGCACCAACCTCATCTATGTGTACATCCCTGGAAAGTATGCTGCCAAGGTAAGTGAACATATCTACAGCATTCAGAATTTCTCCATTTGCTGTAACCAATGGTTCTCTGTATGGATGGCGGAGAACCTGTTTTCTTGGTGTTAATCGTGAGGCCAAAATGAGCACAAATGGCATGTTATGTTGCATCTCAGCCTCAGAGGCTGCATTGAATGCATTGACTGAAAGTCAAAGAAAATGGGCCTATACTGTAGTACTGCCTATTCTGCCTAAATGAACGTGGTCCATTATGGGAAAAGAAAAGTTAAGTCATAAACATTAATTCTTTCTTGATGAAAGATCTAATGATGGGCAAGGACTTTGATAACGCATACTGACCAAATAGATGAAACAGGGTAATACAAAATCAAATGCAAATAAGAAAGGAAGAATGATTCTATTCTGATGAAACACTCATGGTACTCTCCGCTTTCACACAGGCAAGAACTGTTTCATCTGAGGCTATTCAGGGTGTAATCTCAGTATTAGACACCAGGTGGCATTCTGAATTTGAGTGGTTCTAACTTCAGGTTTCTTTCAGTCCCTCTGCCCATGCAGGATCAGCTTTCCCAAATCTCTGGCTTCCTGTCTCCTTTTATTACCTGTAGTCAGCCAGAGCTCCCATTCTCACAGGAGTGTTTTCTCCTCCCCAATTTTTGACCCAGAAGGACTACACACTCACCTTATAAAGAAAAGTAAGTTTAGTGAGTGTAATCAAAAGTTAAATTAACATTTAAGAAGCCGCTGCTAGAAAGAAGTCTGAACTCTAAACTTCTAACCCATGTATTCTCCCCCATCACGCCTTTGATGCATGTGGGCATGACCACATGCTTTTGCTAGGGGAATTTTCCCTTTCCCTTCACACTACCCAAAATCTCAAGGGGAGAGGGGACGAATACTCTCATCAACACCCAGTCTTGGCTGACCGTCTAGGCAAAAGCTTTCTATCTTGGCTTCTAAGTACACAGATCACCGGAAGTTCCAAGATAAGCGCCATCTTGGTCGGCTCTGAGGTGTGGTTACTGTTTGCTGTTTCCATTAGGTTCACTGCCATACTGTCTGTAGCTGGTCTGCAACATGTCTCTCAGCTGTTTGTGACATAACTTGGTTTTGCCGCCAGTCCGGGAGAGGGGAGGAAGAAGGTCATCTGTCTGACTGGTGTATAAGCTCTGGGATCACTCTCCCAATCCCTAGCACCATTTCATCAATTAATATAAATTATTATGTTTCCCCAGCTTCGATTCACCGATGAACATCAATTAGCTTTTACTAAGGGATATTTTCTGGGAATGTTCAGCCAGGACCTGAGTACAACAACATCTCCCAAGCGGGAAGATGCACTCCCTCCTCTACATACCCACACATCCTCCGGGGATAGTGGACTCAAAGTGGTTGGCACAAAGCCTCCCCTTCCCAGCCAGCCCTGGGAATCCTTTTCTCCCTCAACGTGGTCCCCACCAAATTCCCTTGCAGATGTGTAGAGGTGAATCATTGCCATGCTCAGCTGGGCCGGATCAAGCAGGTTACTCACCTGCTTCCCGGTGGCTTCTCTGGACTTGGCCGTGGATTTGACT